GGTGCTTCAGTGTGGCAGACGCTTGCAGCAAGCAGATGCGGTGCTTTCGTTCGACATGCGACTGATGGTGCAACGCACAGCGTTTGCGCCATGGCGAAACATCGCAGTAGCTGCGCGCTTGGAGCTCGATCAGCAGAGACTGACAAGTGCGCGACTGCATCAAGCTGAATTGATACTGCAGATGGGCCAGAAGGATCTATCCTTGAGGGAAACCTTTGAGGCCTGGAAGGGCGTGGTTACATCGAGTCGCCATGGGCGTGAGAAGGGGCACCTGATGCATGAGGCCAGCAAGCGCTTGCAGGTTGCAGACGTATTACTTTCCGGCAGCATGCGAATGGAACTTTATCGCATGGCGTTTGCAGCTTGGAAGGATTTAGCGGTAGCTGCACACCACGACTCTTACAAGCAACAGATGCGGAGATGTACAGAAGTGCGACTACATCAAGCGGACTTGCTACTCCAGATGGGCCAGCAAGGCGTACCTTTGGTTGTGACGGTTCAGGCCTGGAGGTCTTTGGCTGCATCTGAGCGTCACAGGCGTGAGAAGGAACATTTGACGCATGAGTCCAGCAAGCATTTGCAGCAAACAGATGGTGTCCTTTCAATCGACATGCGAATGTCACAATATCGATTGGCGTTTACAGCTTGGAAGGATTTCGCAGTGGCTGTACACCTCGAGCTCGAGAGGACAGAGCAGTTGCAGAAGAGCGCGGAAGCGCGATTATCTTTTGGGCATGGCCCTCTGCCGCCAGGGTTTGTGGCTCGATCGTAATTGTGTGTGACAGGTGTGCGTGCGTGCGTGCGTGTGGTTCTGGGCATCTTCAAAACGTTGTTTGACCGCAGTGGGGCATCCTGGGGCAGTTGTGAGGTTGTCTTCGCGAGATGTGGGTGCCAGATGTGTGCCTTGCCTGACGGAGCGCTGTCCAACATGATTGGCGCGCTTGCTGTTCTTCGGTATTGCTCCTGATGCTACTTGAATTTTGCAGGCCCCAGGAGGCCACGTTGCGGCGTAGGAAACGGAGGCCCCAGGTGGCCACAGGAACACCCAAGGAGGCCCTAGAAGGCCCAAGGAGGCCACAGGCAGCCACGGGAGATTCCAGTGAGACCCAAGAGGTCCCAGGGATGGGTTCAAGACGCGGCTCAAGTGTGCCCCAAGATGGCCCCAGAAATCGCCAACGCGGCCCAAGACAGCCCAGAGAAGGCCCAGTAGGGCCCCAAGGTGCCCCCAAGACCGCCCCAGATAGCGGCCCGAGCTCGACACTGTTCCGGGACCATCCGCCAACAGCAGCGGCAGCAGATCAAGCAGCGGCGCGCAGTCGCAGGCAGCAGCAGGCAGCAGCAGCAGCAGAAGGCGGCAGCAAGCAGCCGCGCACCCACCGAAGACACGAAGCCAAAGAACGTGTAAGGGGTGGACCGATTTGGGGGCGCGTGCACCTCACGGTCGGCCCCACCGAGACAGTAAGTGGAGCTCCATATGGGGCCACGAAGCGCGCGAGGGGTGTGCTGCATTGGTGGGCTGATGCGCCATGCAGTCGGGCCCACTGAGACCGTAGCCGGCGCTTCCTGTGGCGCCACGAAGAATTCGGGGAGGTGCCGAACGGGGGGGTGATACGCCATGCAGTCGGGCCAACTGGGCCCGTAATTGGAGCTCCTTGTGGGGCAACGAAACGTTCGATGGGTGTGCCGAATGGGGGGGTGATACGCCACGCAGTCGGGTCCACTGAGACGGGGGTGGAGATCCTTATGGTGCCACGAAGCACGTGAGGAGTGCGCCGAATCGGGGGCGTGCGCGCCATACGGTCGGGGCAGCTGCGACCGTAGGTGGAGTGGGCTACGGGGTCACGAGACGTGCGAGGGTGTGTGCCAGATTGGGGGCGCGTGCACCAGGCATCGAGCCCACTGAGACCATGGGAAGAGCTCTCTTTGGGGCCAGGGAACGTATGAGGGGTGTGACGAATCGGAGGCGCATACGCCATGCGTTCGAGCCGACTCTGACCTAAGGTGGAGCTCCCAATGGCGCCACGCGACGTGTGACGGGTGTGCCGAATTGGACACGCGGAGAGCAGAGGAAGGAGGGGGGAAGAGGAGGAGGGCCAGGAGGAGGGCCAGGAGGAGGAGGAGGACCAGTGCAAACCCAAAGACCCATCAACGATGTTGGAAAACATCCTCTCTCCAAGCTCCCCCTCCATGGGCCTCTACAAGGATTCATTTCCACGGAGGGAAGTGCCCCGTTGGGGGACAGCCGTGTGAAAATCTTGAAGCGTGCCAAAACATCATTTTCAGGACTTCCAACGCCACGAGTCAGTCTCATTAAAGCGTCTTGACGATCCTGGCTCGTGCCAGCACGCCATTCATGGGATTTCAACACTGCAAATCAACGTAACTGTTGTGCCCTGACAACACTGAACCGCTGCAAAACACAATTTCTTATACGCTAACCGTGAGAACCAGTGACATGCTTGCAAAGTGTTAAGACGAATGTGCGCGGCGCTAAGACGATAGCCACATTCTCAAAAGAAGCCACCCTCGATCGGTGAACATCTTGCAATATTTCAAACCGAATGCGCGCGGCGCTAATGCGAGAGCCACATTTTGACAAGGAACCGCCCACAATCCGTGAAAACGAGTGCGCGCAGCGGTAAGGCGAGAGCCACAGTTTGAAAACGAACCACCCTAAATCCGTGAAACTCCTGCGAACTGTAAAAAAACGAATGTACCCAGCGCTGAAGCGAGAGCCACATGTTGCAGGAATGGAAGACGAGGAGGAGGGAGAGGAGGAGGAGGAGGAGGAGGAGGAGGAGGAGGAAGGAGGAGGAAGAGGGAGGAGGCGCGCGCGCTGCTGATTCAAAGCGAGGACCCAAATCGCACAGGATGGTTGGTAATGTGTGTCGCGCAGCCTGGGCGTCCCCTACCAGGTGGGTTGGCGGAAATCACGCTGACAAGCTACTGCAGATGTGCCAACAAGACGTGCCGTCGAGGCTGATCTTTGAGGCTTGGAGGGGCGCAGCTGCAGTCGAGCGTCATGGGCGTGAGACTGCTCGCTTGACTGATCAAGCCAGCAGGCACTTACAGCAAACAGAAGCCGTAGTTCTGATCGACATGCGAATGGCACAGCAGCGCGTGACCTTTGTAGCATGGAAGGACGTTGCAGTAGCAGCGCACCACGAACTCGAGAAGATAGACCAGCTGCGGAGGAGCGCAGACGTGCGACTTCATCAAGCTGACCAATTACTGCAGATGTGCCAACAGGACGTGCCGTCGAGGGTGATATTTGAGGCTTGGAGGGGAGCAGCTGCAGTCGAGCGCCATGGGCGCGAAAAGGGGCATCTGATGGGTCAAGCTTGCAGACGGCTGCAACTAGCAGACGCAGCACTTGCGACCGACGGGCGAGTGGGCCGTCTGTGCGAGACCTTCTCGGCATGGAAAGGCGTCGCGGTAGCCTCGCACCACGAGATCGAGAAGAGGCACCAGGTACAGAGGAGCGCGGACCAGCGACTTCGTCAGGCTGACCTGCTACTGCAGATCCACCAGCCGGAGTGGTCCTCGAGGGTGATGCACGCCGCTTCGCGGGGAACACGGCAGGGCAAGCGTTCCGTCCGCTCCTGGGGGCCGTCGTGGAGGTATTTTGGGAGTAGTCTGGAGCCTACTTGGGCCCTTCGTGGGCCGTCTTGTCCCGCTATCGGAGCCTTGTCTGGGCCGTCTTGGTATGAGATTGGGAGCATCTTGCGCCGTCTTGAATGCTTGGAAGACTGAAAAAAGCTGAGTATGTCAAAATCGCTCAGGAAGCCTCCAGAAGCTCAATGCGTCTTGCCTCTTGGAGGCCCGTTGAGGTTCTCTTGGCGCCCCCTCGGGCCGTCTTGGCAGCCTCTTGGGCCGTTTGGGGGCCGTCTTGGCGCCGTATTGGGCCAGTTTGGGCCAGCCTCGGCCGTCTTGGGGGTCTATTCGTGCTGTCTTGGAGGCCCTCCAGGCCAGTTGTAGCCGCAAAAGAGGTTGCCGCATAAGGTCGGCAGATGTGGCGCGGCCCTTCGGGGGGGGTCAAGGGGAGGTATCGACATTATGTTTACATAACACTTTTCTCTCGCAACTGTTTGACATATGCCTTGCATCTTGTCTGGGAGGCTACACACACAACAAAAAAACGGCCCCCATAGTCTGGTTCGCAGCCCGGCCGTGAATACAATGGGCTGACGCTGCATCCACCGACCTCTTGATGCTATAGAGGCTCCGGTTGGCCCTTGCAGCCGCTGGCCCAGGAAATCTCTTGGGCCGACGCGGGGCCGTCGACATGTCTGAAGCAGAAGAGCCTGGGAATCAAAATGTTGTGCAATGCAGCGTAGGGCCTCTCGCGTGGACCGTCTCCTTGGGCCGTCTTCGCGCCCTCCAGGAGCCCTCTGAGGTCGGATTTGAGGACATCATGGCGCCCTCTTGGGCCGCCATGGGCCCGCCTTGGGAGACCCAGGGCCTCTTCCAGGCACCCGCAGGGTACCCACCCCCCCCCCGATTGAAGTCGTGAGAGCCTACCTCCTCCTCCTCCTCCTCCTCCTCCTCCTCCTCCTCCTCCTCCTCCTCCTCCTCCTCCTCCTCCTCCTCCTCCTCCTCCTCCTCCTCTCCGTACTGGATCTGCATAAGGTGCGGGTGTCGGGCTTTGGAGGGCAGGGGACACCTCAGAGGCCTCTCGGAAGTTTGCTCACCTCCCCCGAAGATGGGGAGTTGGGTTATGTCTCGCGTTTTTCAAGGGAGGCCACTCAAATGAAGTCCTCCTGAGAGCCCCGCCAATCCAGACACCGTCTGATCGGGAAAGCCCTTGGAAAGTCCTCCTTCCAAGAGCGGGTCAAAGTGCAAGCATCTCCCACGCCGGTGCCCGTGGGGTTCGGCGAATCTTTGAGGCCTGGAGGGGCACAGCGGCGGTCGAGCGGCATCAGCGTGAGAGGGAGCGCCTGAGTGGTCAAGCCGACAGGCACCTCCAGCAGGCAGAAGCAGTACTGTTGGTGGACGTGCGAATGACGCAGCAGCACGTGGCCTTTGCAGCTTGGAAGGACGTCGCAGTAGCCTCACGCCACGAGCTCGAGAAGACAGACCAGCTGCGGAGGAGCACAGACGTGCGGCTTCATCAAGCTGACCTGCTTCTGCAGATGCACCAACCGGATCTACCCTTGTGTGTGACCTTTGAGGCTTGGAGGAGCGCGGTTGCAGTCGAGCGCCATGTGCGTGAAATGCATCGCCTCAATGGTCAAGCCGACAGGCACCTCCAGCAGGCGGACGCAATAGTTTCGTTCGACGTGCGCATGGCGCTGCAGCGCGTGGCCTTTGCAGCTTGGAAGGACGTCGCATTAGCCTCGCACCACGAGCTCGAGAAGAGGGAACAGCTGCAAACGAGCACAGACATGCGACTTCATCAAGCTGACCTGCTTCTGCAGATGCACCAGCCAGATCTGCCCGTGTGCGTGATATTCGAGGCCTGGAGGAGCGCAGTTGTAATCGAGCGTTTGGGGCGTGAGAGCCAGCGTTTGGACGGTCAAGTCGACAGGCACCTGAAGCAAGCAGAAGGATTGGCATCTGTCGAAATGCGGATGGCGCAGCAGCGCATGGCGTTTGCAGCTTGGAAGGATCTTGCTGCAGCTGCGCACCACGACGCCGACAAGAAAGATCAGGTGCAGAGGAGCGCAGACGTACGGCTACACCAAGCTGATGTGCTACTTCAATGGGTCCAGCAGGATGCGCCCTTGAGAACGATCTTCGCGGCCTGGAGGAACGTGGCTACATCTGAACTCCATGTGCGTGACATGGAGCGCCTGAATGGTCAAGCCAACAGGCAGGGCTCATTTCGATTCGATCGATTCGGTGCCGAGTTCACCCTGCTCGATCCGATTCGATGTCGATATCCTGGCGATCCGATGCGGCCCGATGCTGCACAGCGTAGTTGTGTATCCGGGCGCGGCCAGTCCCATTCGATTTCAATTCGTTGCCGGTGCAACCCGATCCGACGCATATCTCGATCCGATCCGATTTCCGATGTTGATTGATCCTCACAGGCACTTGCAGCAGGCAGGCGCAATAGTTTCGGTCAACGTGCGGATGACGCTGCAGCACGTGGCCTTTGTAGCTTGGAAGGACGTCGCGGCAGCCTCGCACCACGAGCTCGAGAAGAGGGAACAGCTGCAAACGAGCACAGACGTGCGACTTCATCAAGCTGACCTGCTTCTGCAAATGCACCAACCAGATCTGCCCGTGTGCGTGCTTTTTGAGGCTTGGAGGAACGCGGTAGCAGTCGAGCGCCATGTACGTGAGAGGGATCGCTTGAAAGGTCAAGCTGACAGGCACTTACAACAGACAGACTCGGTAGTGTCGGTTGGAATGCGGATGGCGCAACAGTGCATGGCGTTTGCAGTTTGGAAGGACATGTCAGCAATTGCTCGCAATGAGCTTGAGAATGAGAAGTGGCGAAGGAGTGCAGACGCACGGTTGCAGCAAGCTGACTTGCTACTCCAGCTGTGCCAGCAGAATGTGCCCATGAGGGCGAGTTTTGAGGCTTGGAGGGGCGTGATTGCACTCGAGCGCCATGGGCGCGAGATCCAGCTTCTGAATGGCCAGGCTAACCAGCATTTGCAACAGGCAGACACGGTGCTGAAAGCTGGCATGCGAGATACAGTGCGGTTGATTGTTCTGGCAGCGTGGAAGGAGCTCGCAGTGGCTAGACAGTACGACGAGGGAATCAGCCTTGTGACAGACATGCGCCTTCAGCAGGCTGACCTGCTCCTTCAGATGTGCCAACCAGACTCTCCGCAGAGACCATGCTTTGAAGCCTGGCGAGATGTGACTGCACACGAGCTTCGTGGGCGTGAGGCAAAGAGATTGGTAGACAAGACGGCTCGGTGCTTGCACCAGACAGCAGTGGTTCTTGCGGGTGACGAGAGGAGGGCGTTGCTGCAATGCTGTGTGGCAGCTTGGAGGCAGGTCGCAGCTGCTGCCCGTCACGGACACGAGAAAGACAAGTTAATCGGGCACGCAGACAGGCGCTTGCAGCTAGCAGGCATTCTCCTGTCCCTGGGTCAAAGAGAAGCGCCATTGATAGTATCATTCGTTGCATGGAGAAGCGCAGCCGTGTCAGAGCTGCACCGACGTGAGAAGGAGCACTTCATCAGCCAATCAGATCGGCATTTGCAGCAAGCAGCTGCGCTGCTGGCTTCCAACGTGCACGGGGCACCACAGCGCATAGCGTTCGCAGCTTGGCGGGAAGTTACAGTAGAGATTCTCCATGACCGCGAGAAGCGCAAGTGTATCGCGCGTGTTGACAGCCGCCTACACCAAGCTGACACGCTCCTCCTGATGAACCAGAAAGGCACGCCCCTGATGATAACTTTCGGTGCTTGGCGAGGCGTGGTCGTGTCCGAGCGGCACGGGCATGAGAAGCAGCGCCTGGCGAACCAAGCAGCCAGGCGATTGCAGCTTGCAGGCACCTTGTTGTCGCCGGGTCAGAGAGAAGCGCCCTTGATGGTATCCAGTTGCCTGCGGCGTACCCCGCCACCGTGCCGGCGCAGCAGCGCAGCGTGAAGGAAGTTGAGTGAAAGACCCACGGCAGTTCAGCGCGCGGTCTGAATTTGAGTGGGTCCCGGATGGGGCCATTTTGAGGCTCTCTTCGCCTGTCTGACGCCTTCGGAGGCCGTTTTGGGGGCCTCCCTGGACTGTCTTCGGGCCCTCTTGGAGCGCTTACGGGCCGTCTTGGAGGTCTCTTGGATCGTCTTGCGCAGCCGGAAGGCGGAAATGGCGGGAGCGCGGAAACCATTGAGAACACACATACAATAGTATCGATGAGTTTGGCTTGTTTCGGCCATCCTGGAGGGCTTCTTGGCGCCCTCATGGGCCGCACCGAGGGCCTCTTGGGCCATCTCAAGTTTCTCTTGGCCCGTCTGACGCCTCTGGAAGCCTCTGGGCCGTCTTGGGCTGTCAGAAGCCCGAGGCGGCGCGAAAATGATTCGAAAAAAACAGCGGAAGAAGCAATGATTTTGGCTTCGTCTGGTCCTCCTGGAGGGCCTCTTGGAGTCCTCTTGGGTTGTATCTGGGGGCTCTTTGAGCTGCCAGAGGGTTCTCTTGGCCCTTCGTCTGACGCCTTTGGAGCCCGCCTTGGAGGCCTCTCTAGGCCGTCTTAGGGGTCCTCGTGGGGTGCCTTCGGGCCGTCTTGGAAGTCTATCGGGCTGCCTTGGGTCCCTCTCGGTGCCGCCTTGGGGACCTCTTTGGCCGTCTTGGGTCCTCTGGGTCCCCCTTGGAAGCTCCTGGGGCCGTGTGAGGCTGTCGGCAGCCCCACAAGGAGGGCACGCGAAAACGATTGAAAGCCGAAAGCGTATTGGACCAGCCTGGAGGCATGTTGAGGCCATTTTGAATCCTCGCAGTTGTGCTGGGGCTTTCCTGAGGCCAACAAGGTTGCTGGAGAGCAAATGCAGAGGGGACGTTTTCAAAGGATGCGCGCGGCAAATGGGGAGCCAGCCCTAGAAAACATCAAAGAGAGCAGCAAAGCATTTGAACACGCCCCAACGTGCTGCTGGTACGGGGACGGATCGTTCGTGGCATGGAGAAGCGCAGCCGTGTCAGCGCTGCACGGACGTGAGAAGGATCACTTCATCAGCCAATCAGATCGGCACTTGCAGCAAGCAGCTGCGCTGCTGGCTTCCAACGTGCACGGTGCACCACGGCGCATAGCGTTCGCAGCTTGGCGGGAAGTTACAGTAGAGATTATCCATGACCGCGAGAAGCGCAAGTGTATCGCGCGTGTTGACAGCCGCCTACACCAAGCTGACACGCTCCTCCTGATGAACCAGAAAGACACGCCCCTGATGATAACTTTCGGTGCTTGGCGAGGCGTGGTCGTGTCCGAGCGACACGGGCATGAGAAGCAGCGCCTGGCGAACCAAGCAGCCAGGCGATTGCAGCTTGCAGGCACCTTGTTGTCGCCGGGTCAGAGAGAAGCGTCCTTGATGGTATCCAGTTGCCTGCGGCGTACCCCGCCACCGTGCCGGCGCAGCAGCGCAGCGTGAAGGAGGTTGAGTGAGAGACCCACGGCAGTTCAGAGCGCGGTCTGAATTTGAGTGGTTCTTAAATTCGACCTCGTTCCCTCCACTCGCGGATGGGGCCATCTTGAGACTCTCTTCGCCTGTCTGACGCCTTCGCAAGCCGTTTTGGGGGCCTCCCTGGACTGTCTTTGGCCCCTCTTGGGGCGCTTCCGGGCCGTCTTGGAGGTCTCTTGGATCGTCTTGCGCAGCCGGAAGGCGGAAATGGCGGGAGCGCGGAAACCATTGAGAACACACATGCAATATCGATGAGTTTGGCTTGTTTCGGCCATCCTGGAGAGCTTCTTGGCGCCCTCCTAGGCCGCATCGAGGGCCTCTTGGGCCGTCTCAAGGCTCTCTTGGCCCGTCAGACGCCTCTGGAAGTCTCTGGGCCGCCTTGGGCTGTCAGAAGCCCGAGGCGGACACGCGAAAATGATTCGAAAAAGCCAGCGGAAGAAGCAATGATTTTGGCTTCGTCCTGTCCCCCTGGAGGGCCTCTTGGAGTCTTCTTGGGCTGTATCGGGGGGCTCTTGAGCCGCCAGAGGGTTCTCTTGGCCAATCTGACGCCTTTGGAGCCCGCCTTGGAGGCCTCTCTAGGCCGTCTTAGGGGTCCTCGTGGGGTGCCTTCGGGCCGTCTTGGAAGTCTATCGGGCTGCTTTGCGGCCTTCTCGGTGCCGCCTTGGGGACCTCTTTGGCCGTCTTGGGTCCTCTGGGTCCCTCTTGGAAGCTCCTGGGGCCGTGTGAGGCTGTCGGGAGCCCCACAAGGAGGGCATGCGAAAAGGATTGAAAGCCGAAAGCGTATTGGACCAGCCTGGAGGCATGTTGAGGTCATTTTGAATCCTCGCAGTTGTGCTGGGGCTTTCCTGAGGCCAACAAGGTTGCTGGAGAGCAAATGCAGAGGGGACGTTTTCAAAGGATGCGCGCGGCAAATGGGGAGCCAGCCCTAGAAAACATCAAAGAGAGCAGCAAAGCATTTGAACACGCCCCAACGTGCCGCTGGTACGGGGACGGATCGTTCGTGGCATGGAGAAGCGCAGCCGTGTCAGCGCTGCACGGACGTGAGAAGGATCACTTCATCAGCCAATCAGATCGGCACTTGCGGCAAGCAGCTGCGCTGCTGGCTTCCAACGTGCACGGTGCACCACGGCGCATAGCGTTCGCAGCTTGGCGGGAAGTTACAGTAGAGATTATCCATGACCGCGAGAAGCGCAAGTGTATCGCGCGTGTTGACAGCCGCCTACACCAAGCTGACACGCTCCTCCTGATGAACCAGAAAGACACGCCCCTGATGATAACTTTCAGTGCTTGGCGAGGCGTGGTCGTGTCCGAGCGGCACGGGCATGAGAAGCAGCGCCTGGCGAACCAAGCAGCCAGGCGATTGCAGCTTGCAGGCACCTTGTTGTCGCCGGGTCAGAGAGAAGCGTCCTTGATGGTATCCAGTTGCCTGCGGCGTACCCCGCCACCGTGCCGGCGCAGCAGCGCAGCGTGAAGGAGGTTGAGTGAGAGACCCACGGCAGTTCAGAGCGCGGTCTGAATTCGATTGGGCCTTAAATTCGACCTCGTTCCCTCCACTCGTGGATGGGGCCATTTTGGACTCTCTTCGCCTGTCTGACGCCTTCGGAAGCCGTCTTGGGGGCCTCCCTGGACTGTCTTTGGGTCCTCTTGAGGCGCTTGCGGACCGTCTTGGAAGTCTCTTGGATCGTCTTGCGCAGCCGGAAGGCGGAAATGGCGGGAGCGCGGAAACCATCGAGAACACACATGCAATATCGATGAGTTTGGCTTGTTTCGGCCATCCTGGAGAGCTTCTTGGTGCCCTCCTAGGCCGCATCGAGGGCCTCTTGGGCCGTCTCAAGGCTCTCTTGGCCCGTCAGACGCCTCTGGAAGTCTCTGGGCCGTCTTGGGCTGTCGAAAGCCCGAGGCGGCCACGCGAAAATGATTCGAAAAAACCAGCGGAAAAAAAAAACAATGATTTTGGCTTCGTCCGGTCCTCCTGGAGGGCCTCTTGGAGTCTTCTTGGGCTGTATCAGGGGGCCCTTGAACCGCCAGATTGTTCTCTTGGCCCATCTGACGCCTTTGGGGCCCGTCCTGGGGGCCTCTCTAGGCCGTCTTAGGGGCCCTCGTGGGGTGCCTTCGGGCCGTCTTGGAAGTCTATCGGGCTGTCTTGGGGCCCTCTCGGGGCCGCCTTGGGGACCTATTTAGCCGTCTTGGGTCCTCTGGGTCCCTTTTGGAAGCTCCTGGGGCCGTCTTGGGCTGTCGGAAGCCCGAGGCGGAAACGCGAAAATGATTCGAAAAAGCCAGCGGGGAAGCAATGATTTTGGCTTCGTCCGGTCCTCCTGGAGGGCCTTTTGGAGCCCTGTTGGGTTGTATCAGGGGGCTCTTGAGCCGCCAGAGGGTGGTTCTCTTGTCCCATCTGACGCCTTCGGAGCTCGTGGGGTGCCTTCGGGCCGTCTTGGAAGTCTATCGGGCTGCCTTGAGGCCCTCTCGGTGCCGCCTTGGGGACCTCTTTGGGCGTCTTGGGTCCTCTGGGTTCCTCTTGGAAGCTCCTGGGGCCGTCTGAGGCTGTCGGGAGCCCGACAAGGAGGGCACGCGAAAACGATGGAAAGCCGAAAACGTATTGGACCAGCCTGGAGGCATGTTGAGGCCGTCTTGAATCCTCGCAGTTGTGTTGGAGCTTTTCTGAGGCCAACAAGGTTGCCAGAGAGCCAATGCAGAGGGGACGTTTTCAAAGGATGCGCGCGGCGAGTGGGGAGCCAGCCCTGGAAAACATCGAAGAGAGCAGAAAAGCATTTGAACACGCCCCAACGTGCCGCTGGTACGGGGACGGATCGTTCGTGGCATGGAGAAGCGCAGCCGTGTCATCGCTGCACGGACGTGAGAAGGAGCAATTCGCCAGCCAGTCAGATCGGCACTTGCGGCAAGCAGCTGCGCTGCTGGCTTCCAACGTGCACGGGGCACCACAGCGCATAGCGTTCGCAGCTTGGCGGGAAGTTACAGTAGAAATTATCCATGACCGCGAGAAGCGCAAGTGTATCGCGCGTGTTGACAGCCGCCTACACCAAGCTGACACGCTCCTCCTGATGAACCAGAAAGACACGCCCCTCATGATAACATTCGGTGCTTGGCGAGGCGTGGTCGTGTCCGAGCTGCACGGGCATGAGAAGCAGCGCCTGGCGAACCAAGCAGCCAGGCGATTGCAGCAGGCAGCTGCGCTGCTAGCCTCCAGCGTGCAGGGGGCGCCGAGGCGCATAGTGTTCACGGCCTGGCGGGAGGTCGCCCTGGCGGCGCGCCACGAGCAGGAGAGGTTGCACCTGGAGGCGCTCGCGGATGGGCGCCTGTGTCAGGTCTACGCGCTGCTGGTGGGCGGCCAGACGCACGCCCTAGCGCTGGCTGCGCTCTCGGCCTGGCGAGACTGCTGGGCGCGCGGGCGGCGCGGCCAGCTCGAGGAGGACCGACTGCGGCAGGTGGAGGGCGCGCTCGCCGCAGGCCCGCGCGGGGCCCACGTTCTCCTCGTGGTCGTGTCCGCGTGGCGGGAGGCCGCCCTGCGGTGGCGCAGCGGCAGGGAGAGGGAGCTGCTGGCCGAGGCGGCCTCCGCGCGCGCGCGGCACGCCGCAGGGCTGCTTGCCGCGGCGCGGGGCCCCGCGGCGGCGGCGCGGGAGGTGCTGGCGGCGTGGCGGCAGGCCGTGGCCTTCGAGCGCATCCGCGCGGAGTGCGGCCGGCTCGTGAAGCGGGCGGACGACAGGCTCACGGGCGCGGAGGCGGCCCTGCTGCGGGGGGTGCGGGCGGGCCTGCTCGGGGCCGCGTTCGCCCCGTGGGCGGCATGCACCGCCGAGTGCCGCGCGGCAGGCGCGCGGCGCCTGTCGGACGAGGCGCTCGCCGCCGCCCGGGCCTTCGCCCACAAGAACGGCATCCGCGCCACCGCCGCTCTTTCGACTGCCCGCCTCATGGTGCCCGTGCTTGGCTCCTTCGCGGCGTGGCGGTGCTGGACGCTCTCGAGCCGGCACGCCCGGGAAACCGATCGCAACCTCCGCTGCTCGAGCCGCCACGTCGAACAGGCGGCCTCGGCATGGGCGGCGGGGTGGCGCGCGGTGCTGCTGCGAACCGCCACGGCGGCGTGGAAGGAGTGCTGCTCGCGGGAGCGCCGCAGGCAAGAGGTGGAGGTCTGGGCTCGCCGGGCCGACAGGCGGCTGGAATGCTCCCTCGCGCTGTCCGCCGCAGGTCAGAAGCGCGCGTCGCTGTGCGAGGCCCTCTCGGCGTGGCGGGAGGCCACGCTCGCGGGCCTTCACGGGCAGCAGCTTGACCGGTGCCTCGCCTGCGCCGACCTGCGCCTCGGCCAGGCCGAGGCGGCGCTCCGAGCAGGGCAGGAGCTGGTGTCCGTGCAGGCGGTCTGCTCAGCATGGAGAGAGGCGGCCCTGCGCTCGCGCCGGGACCGCGAGCTCGCGCGGTGGATTGACCGCGCGGAGGCCCGCCTTGGCCAGACAGAGAGCGCACTGGCGGCGGGGCAGCGGGGCGAGCTCGCCCGGCTGGTCTGCAGCGCCTGGAGCGAGGCGGCCTTGCGGTCGCGCCAGAGGCAGGAGTTCGCGCGGCGGACGGGCGAGCGCCTGGGGCAGACGGAGGAGGTGTTGCGCAAGGGCCAGCGCGACACGCTGCTTCTTGCCGCTCACGCGGCCTGGAGGGCTGCGGTGCTGCTGGGCCGGCGCCAGCGCGAGGACGAGGGCAGGCTGGCACACCGAACGGAGAGCCTTAGCAGGCTCGACTCGTTCCTTCAGGTCTCTTGCGACTGCGCGCTCGCGCGCGGCGTCCTGTCCGCCTGGCGCGAGGTGACGCTGGAGTGTCAGGTGGACGGCGCCAAGGCGGCCTTGGCCGATTCCAGCAGGCGGGGTCAGGAGACCTTCGCGCGCGGCGGCCAGGCAGCACGCCGAGCGGGCCTCCTGGCGCTGGCCCGCGTGGCTCTCGTGGCGTGGTCGCGCTTCGCCCGCGCGGAGGCCGCGCGGCTGGCGGCCGAGTCTGCCTCGGAGGCAATGGGGCGCCTCCGCGACTGGGGCGTCGAGTGGGCCGGGCAGGCCGTTGAAGCGAGCGACACGCTGTGCTTGGCGCGGAGCTTCTGGCACTGGCGCGTGGCCCTCTTGGAGCACGGCCTGGACTTCCAGGACCGCCAGCTGCGGCTGGAGAGCACGGTCGGCCAGCGGGAGGTGGGGCTGCTGCGCGCCCTGCTGGACGTGCGGCTGGTGGAGGTCACCTTCAGCACGTGGAGCGCGCGGACTTACAGGCACACAGTGAACAAGATGGCGCTGCAGGGCGAGGAGCTGAGCGCGGAGAACTCGCGGCTGGCCGGCCTGCAGGAGCAGCGAAGGAACCGCGCCCTGGCCGTCATGGAAGGCTCCATGAGCGCCGCTTTCCTGGCAAGCGCGTTCCGGGACCTCTGAGCGAGCCCCCCGTCGAGCGGGAGCCTCGTCTGCGCTTCTCGCCATGAGGGACACGGGTCCTGAGGGAAACGGGTCCCGAGGTTTTTCGCAATTTGCGGTTTTTCGCCGTTCTCGGGCCCCACGGGCCCCAGGACTGTCCGAGAAGGACTCGGGATGAAGAGCTGGTCTCGGGGGAAGGCCCCAGCGTCCAGGTCCCGTTTCCCTCCGCACCCGTTCCCGTCGTGCCAAGCTTCTGGCCGCGCCCTCTTCCGAGCCCACCTCCTCCTCCTCCTCCTCCTCCTCCTCCTCCTCCTCCTCCTCCTCCTCCTCCTCCTCCTCCTCCTCCTCCTCCTCCTCCTCCTCCTCTGCGTGCACGTGCGGCCCCATGTCCCTCCAGCGCTCGGAGGCCTCGCGCGGCCAGGCCCGCCGGGCCCGCCGCACGTGCGCCTGGCCATCTGGCATCTCGGTGCTGCAGGGCCCCCCAGGAGGAGGAGGAGGAGGAGGAGGAGGCGGAGGAGGAGGAGGAGGAGGAGGAGAGGGAGGGAGGGAGGGAGGGAGGGAGGGAGGGAGGGCGGGATGGGAGGGAGTGGGGGAGGGAGGGAGGGGTCCCGACCCTTCCCCCGTTTTTCATCCCGAGTCGTTTTTTTGTCCCACGGTCCACGGGTCTGGCGAGGGCCCCCAGAGATTGAAAAGGGCTAGGGCAATGTCCGATGCGATGTTCAGCTCCGCGAGAGCACGTCTGGGCGTCCGGCCGCGTGGCTGTCGCACTCTCCGCATGCGGGTCCAGCCTCGTGCGCAGACGAGCCACAACGTGACGTGACTGCTTCCTCTTCAGGACACGCCACTGCAATGACGGTCATGTTGGCGCTTCGCTGGCCAAACCAAGACGGGGCGTGCCGACATGACAGGAACCACCGGCGAACCAGCAGAACGTGAAGTACAGCACGCCGTGATGCACAGATGACGCAGACGAACTGCAGGAGGAGCACCGTAGTGAATACAAGGACCGACCACAACGCTGTTTAGTTTGGCGTGGGCCCGTGTTTAGTTTTTCATCGTTGGTTGTTGTTGTGTCGTTTCGTTGTCCGTTGATGTTTTGAACGCCCCGTTTCGTCGTTCGTTTTCGTTTGGCACCAGCTTCGTTCTCAGCGTTCGGTTTCCACGACGGGCCTCGTGTCGTGGTCCGTTGCCAACGACATCTCGTTTCGAGCCTCGTTGCGGCCGGCCCTGGAAGGAATACCATGCGCACCGCGTCGCGTGCTCTCGGCCTATTCTGGCGCCCCTTCTCCTCCTCCTCCTCCTCCTCCTCCTCCTCCTCCTCCTCCTTCTGCTCCTCCTCCTCTTAC